ACGCGCCTTATGCATAAGGACCAGGGCTCCTTAGGAATATTTACTAGCATTCAGCAAATAGGCCCCCACTGGCAAGCCCACAAAACACCGCTGGTGAAGGAAGCGATGATTCAGCCTCTCAGGGAGCCCCGGGGGAGCGTCAACTGGAGAGCTGGGAAAAGCAAAGGCGGGAGACCCGCACCAAGTATAGTGGCCGCACCAGCAAACCTAGTTCTCAGCAGCGGCCACCCAAGACCTCCTGAAGGTGTTGAAGGGTGAGGATGTCACTTTGAGGTCTGAGGTGTGGCTGACCCAAGCCAGGGTCTTTTCTATGGACTCGTACGCAGGTGACAGTCGGACATTGAAGCAGGAAGACCGAAGAAGCATCGATGTGCATGAATGATGGGGCTGGATTAGGGCAACCCTGTGGGTCAATTTCCAGCCACACGAAAGACACCTGTCTTCTGGCTGCCAGCAGAGCACAGCTCTCTGTCCTGGAAGAAATCCAGCCGGGACTCTCCTTAGACGTGAGCATGGCGAGACCTCTGCTCACACACTTTATCCGCGTGGTCAGGAGAGACCAGTCCCTGGAGAACAGCAAAAGTAGAAGGCCGTGGGAGAAGCAGCAGGGCCCTGGACAAGGTGGACTGACCCAGGGGGTGGCAATGGGCGGACGATCGTGAGGATGGCACGGGGCCAAGCAGGGGTGCCTTAGGGTGCACGTGGGGTCGCAGGGAGTTGGCGCGGACTCGATGACATTTAAAGACAACAACAACAACAACAGCAACGACAAACACGTGTGAAAGTCGGACGCTGGCTCTGGAAGACCCCAGAAGAATGGCGCCCCTGGAAGGACGGTGCTGGAGAAGAATGCTGAAGGGACCAAGGACAGACAGACGGACACCCCGTCTGTCTTGGAAGAAGTACAGCCAGAGTGAACAGGGCGAGACTTTGCCTCAAGGATTGGGGGCACGTTCTGGGGAGAGAGCAGCCCTGGAGAAGGCCAGCACGCTTGGAAAGGAGAGGGTCCGGGCGGAAAAGAGGAAGACCTCCCTGACTGAGCTGGAGGAACGCAGCGGCTGTGATGACGGGCTCAAACCCAGCAGCCACAGGGACCATGGCGCAGGACTGGGCGGAGTCTGGTTCTGCCACGCACGAGTTGGACCCGGCAGGACAGCACCGAACGACGACAGGATGTGACGAGGTCTACGGCGGATTGGTGGGAAAGCTATTGCCCTTCGTGCAGGTTGTTGGTAGGCAACACCGAGAACACTGTTCCCACCCGGAGCGACCCCTGTACAGTGGAACGCAATAGTGCCCGCTGGTACGTCACCCTCACAACCGCTATGTGTGAGTCCCTTGCTCTGCCAACAACAGGAAGTAAAAGAGAAAGAATGGAAAAGGACCCACAAGTGACCACTGCTTCTCTGACTCACATGGAGGGCAGCAGGAGTCAGCATCAGGTGTCCCCCCCCCCCACCTTTGTCTTTCAGCAGAACCTGCAGGACATCAGAAGTGCTCCTGTAAGTGATGGTGGTGTTACGAGGACAGCTAATCTTCTTAAAGGAGCTGGGGCCACTCCAGGGACAAATGCTTCAGCTTCGGGGGAGTAAATCAGACCAGTTTCACATGAGCCTCACCAGGCTCGCTCCTGCAAAGTGTCCCGAGGCTGGCCGTGCATCTGTGTCACTTGGGACTAAGAATAGCATTTTATTGGCAAAGCATCTTATCAGGGCCCAGAGGCCAGCTGGCTACAGGCCTGTTTCCTCCAGCGCTGTTTTCCTCACTGATCGGATCTCGGCTCTGAGCGTCATCCCCGCAGACACGGTTTTGCGGCTGCAGAGAGGGCACCGGCAGTTCTGTGGGGATGGGAGGGTGGTAGCCGTGTTTTCTGAGGACAGGCACCTCATTTCAGGGCTGGGCCAGAGCTGGCCACGCGCTCGGAAAGTACACATGCAAGGTGGCAAACCTGGGCTCGCTCTTAATCACCTCCCCC